CACTGCTAACCTATTCCTCCTATGCCTCAGCTGTGCCCTTCACTCTCTCAAGTCTTAACTGGCTAACAAGGCTGGCATCCACTGGTGCAGGCCCTCCTAAAATGCCTGCCACTAAAGCAACAATAAATAGACACTTTTTAAAAAGATAAGTCTGCCAAGACAAAAAGAATGGGAGAGGCTATAAGGGTGACACTTGGAGATGGAAAGCAGAGAGAGGGGTGATAACTGATTTAGCAGATCTGATAGATGAAGCTTGAGCCAGGAATGTGGAATGCTGAGAAGAGGGAAAACCAAATCACACTGCAGAGCCCTACACCACCTACTCCCAAAGACTCCAGAAATGGCTGTGCTAGTAACTTCTAGAAATGGAGTGAAGCTGAGGCTGAAAGGAAAATGGCTGAAAGCCCATTTGAAAAGCAGCTTGTGGCTCAGTTTTGTGAATGGCGGGAGGCAGGGGTCCAGCTTCATGCCTTTGCATCTGGATGCCCATTGATCCAGCACCATTTCTTAAAAAGACTGTTCTTTCCCACTGATCGGTCTTGGCACCCCGTTGGAAATTAATTGGCCATAATGAAGGTTGTTTATTCTTGGGATCGCTACTTTATTTCACTGCTCCGTATGTCTACCCTTGCACCAGTACCACACTGTATGATCACTGCAGCTCTATAATAGGGTTTGAAATTGGAAAGGTATGGTCCCTGACTTTATTGTTCTACAGTATTTCAAGATTATTTTAGCTACTTTAGGTTTCTCACACTAGAAACAAAGCAGGGAGGACAGACCTAAGAGAGCAGGCTACAGGGCTGGGCCTGGACTGTGCTGCCTCAATGTGTCTGTGGATACAAGCACTCTGGACCATCACCTGCACCCTACACACACACATAGCATCACACAAACCTGGCACCTCTTTTTCTTTTTTTGGAGAGGTTTTTGCTATAGGGCGCGTACGCTCGCCAGAAAGAGAGAGAGAGACAGAGAGAAAGAAAGCGAGAAATCACCCCCCAGGGGGGATGCCAATGCCGCAATCCCTTCTCCTCCATTCTCCTCTTGGGATCTTGGGCACGCATGCACTCGTGCCTGGCATGAGTTTAAGCCACCAGGTCCGGGACTCGAACCACGGTCGACTACGTGGGAGTCCAGCAACATAGCCATTACGCAAACTGCTGGTCCCAAACCCGGCACCTCTTAATACTGAAACCAAGAGAGTTGGCATGGCAGCAAGTGCTCCCAGTTGCCTTGTGGAATGCAGAGGCTCAGAACAGTGGGCTCAGGCAGCCTTGGCACAGACAAGCAAGTCCAGCTACTTCCTAGCTGTCAGGTTTTGTTTCTAAATTCTATCTCATCTTTAAACTAAATGGTATACTCTGTCCTTGAGGAGAAAGGCTTCTGGACACATGCCTACAAAACACACACATTCACACATGCGTGCACGTGCACACACACAGGGAAGTGGCCTGCATCTGCCTCTGGCTCCTGAAGAGGGAGACATTGGTTCATGTCTTCTCACCAGTGCACTGGGTAGCCCAGGCACGTGGAACTGTGGGATGTCCTTTCTGGCTGCCAGCCTCCACGGTCAGGGCCCCCAGTGTGCACAGACCTTGTCGCCATCATACATGTGCAGCAGGAGCCATGTCTGCCTTGTCTTCTGAAATCTCCAGTTTTCATGCTTTTGGGCCCATCTGGGAGAAATAAGACAAACATCCTCAGGGTGTCAGAGGGAAGAGCTCAGGGCTTTCTCACAGGAAGGAGGCCCCACCTGGGTGCTCAACACCAAGGGGAGTCTGGGGACACCCTCCTTTGGTTGAAAAGAAAAGCCAAATCTGCAAAGGCTAGGGGTGGGAGTCTGATCAGCAGGACACAGCACCTCAGCAGAGTCACCATGGAGCTCCTTGCCAGTCTCAGGGTGTCCAGACTGTAACAGGACTGAAGGACTACATGGCTTTGGAACATTTTTTCCAGCTCTGTGATTTTATGACCCTCATGTAAACATTTTGTGAATTCAGTTGTTCTTCAAAAAGCATCACTGGCCTTCCAGCCCAACACCCAAGCGAGAATCCATTTTCATCTGAGGTGAGTCTGCCCCTGGCTCCTTTAACTGAAGAGCTTCTGCTTCAAACCCCTCCTTCAAGCCCAACAACCAAGTGAGTAGTAGAGGAGAAACTGGCATCGAAGTTCCTCATGATAAAGTGAAGCATACGACCTTACAGTTGTAGGAACCTCTAACAAATCAGCCAAATGTGAATATACCACCAAATGACTAAAAATCAGAGAAGAGAGACTGCAAAGTGAGCAGCAGGGGGAAACACGGAGCTGCAGAGAGTGCAGCTCCTCTTCTCCCATACTCCTCTCAACTCTCTGTTGAAACCCTGCAGCTCAGTCCAGGTGTACCTAGTCTTTAGAAACTAGGAGGTCTTTGTAATATAATATACACTTCCATCAACAAAAGTGCAGTTGTTTGGTGACCATCAGAAAAATGGAACTGCAGAGGTATTGCAGGTCATCTCCTGCATGCCTCTAACGCTCAGAATTAACTCCAAGAAAGTAGAAAGAAACCTCTAATCCATCAGATGACCAGAAACCACCACAGAGGCTCAAGAAATATGAGAAACCAAGAAAATCTCTCTCCTTCAAGGGAAAAGAACAGTCCTTCATCATCCATAGATAGTACAATGAAACTCATGGAAATATCAGATAATGAATTTAGAATATTCACAGTGACAAAGCTAACACAGATGCAAGCCAAGAGACACAATGAACTCCAGAAGATGCAGGAAAAAAGAGACAATGAGTTCCAGGAGGAGAGGAAGTCCTTGCATGATCCGAAAGAGGAAATATACACCATAAGAAAGAATCAAATGGAAAAGTTAGAGAAGGCGGCTGTAATACAGGAAATCAAAACCTCCCTTGAAAGAGTTAAAAACAGATTAGATCATGCAGAAGATTGAATATCAGATATAAATGATAAAACCTCTGACTTAGAAAAAATGATCAAAAAGATTGAGAAAATAACCCCCAAAATCAGAATAATATACGAGAAATATTGAATACTATCAAATGCCCAAACATCCAGATAATCGGTATCCCAGAAGGTGAAGAAACCAATAAGGGCATTGATAAATCTATTCCATGAAATACTGGAAGAAAACTTCCCAAACCTAGACAGCCATTCAAATATCTAGACCCAGGAAATACAAAGGACCCTACATAGACTCAACTATGAGTTGAGTGCCCAAGATCTCAAGAGGAGAACGGTGGAGAAGGGACTGCGGTGTGGCCATCCCTCCTGGGGGATGATTTCTCGCTTTCTATCTCTGTCTCTCCATGCCTTTCTGGCGAGCGCACACGCCCTATAGGAAAAACCTCTCAAAAAAACCAAACCAAAACAAAAAAAAAACCAAAACAAACAAACAAACAGGTGCCAGGTTTGTGTGATGCTGTGTGTGTATGTAGGGTGCAGGTGATGGTCCAGAGTGCTTGTATGTACAGACACATTGAGGCACCACATTCTCAACTCAAGATGATCTTCTCCAAGGCACATCATAGCCAGATTGGCCAAAACCACACAGAGACAGGATACTAAAATGGGCAAGAGGGAATCGTCAAGTTACTTTCAAAGGATATCCCATCAGGCTAAAGTCAAGCCCCTCCTTGGAAACAATGCAAGCAAGGAAAGAATGGGAAAATATATTCAAAGTGTTAAGTGAAAAATAATTTCAAACATGAATACTATACCCGGCATGATTATCCTTCATATGGGAAGAAAAGACAGAAAAAAACCAAAACAACAACAACAAAAAACATTGAGATAAACAAAACCTGAAAGAATTTACCAACGCCACCAGATCAGCTCTCCAAGAAGTGCTGAAGGGAGTGTTATTCCAGGAAAACTAAAGACAGACGCACGGAAATAAGAGTACAAAAAACAGCCCCAAAATGGCCAGCCTAATGGTAGGGATAGGTCCAGAAATATCAATAATAATGTTGAATGTTAACTTCCAATATTTAAGTGGAAAGATCAGACCACAGTAACACCGCAAATTCAACAAAAGAGAGATTAATTACACGAGACTGAATTGGTAAAATGGAATTCTATGACTTTTGACTAAGAGTACTGATTTTCTTCTATGCTTTGTCTTCCAGATTTAAGGATTTTTGTTTTCTTTTGAGTTGTTGATAGGTTCAGTAATTTGTTAAGTTCTTTTTTTAAAAAATTGAAACAAACTTTTTTCCCTTCCTGACCCCTCTGCAACTGGAAAATATTTGTGAACATTTTTATTTGTGGCAGAATGATTATTTACATAAGTTCAATAATACAATAGTATCTATTGCCTTGCATCAGAAATTAAATTCTTATGGGACTTCATGCAAATAATAGACCAATTTGAGACTAAACTTTTTTTTTTGAAAATAAGTTAGTTTATACCGCTCTTTAGTAAAAGGGGACTGGAGAGGGAAAATGTTTCAGAAAAAAATTACAGTGTACTTGTTATTAGATTTTAGTTTTGTCCATATTTTTCGTTAAATTAAGATCTTTTGTGAAATAATAAAATGTGAAAACAAAAATTTAGTAGGGGAGGGAAGGAAGGAAAGAAGAAAAAAAGTGAAAGTACATTTAATTGGCAAAAAAGTGAGAAGCGATTTGCTGATAATGTATATAGTAATATCTTTGTCTTCACTGATATGCATGGTATTCGTGGAGAAAAAAGAAATGTACACTGTGAAGATATATGTGATTAAATGTAAATAAAAAATAAAAGAACTAAAGAAAAAAAAAAAAAAAAAGAAGCATCGCTGCATGCCATGGCAGAGTCCCTGACAGCTCCCCACCCTTCTTCAGTGAGACACGCCAGGGCGCCTGTGGCTCATGGCCGCTCCCTCTCCTGCGTCCGGGTGGGCCTGTGTGGATATCTCCAGCTGAGAAGATACAAGAGAGGCTGGCTGTGCCCCAGTGGTAATGGTGGGGGCGGCTTCCACTCACACTCCCTGCCTGCTGGAACTGGGACAGCCTTCGGACGGTGACATGTGTATTGAGGGCAGGGAGAATGAGCTAGAAAAAGCCTGGCCCTGAGGGGATTCCAAGCCAGTTTGGGCTGCTGGGGTGAGAGGACAGAGAAAAAATATTGGTCTGAGCCTGCCCTGTGCATGCCCAATCTCTGCGGGCCCTCATATAGCCTGGTCACATCGGGCTCATACTGAGGGGCTATCAAAGGATGAGCCAGCAGTCAGGAGAAAGTAGTTTTGGGACCAGAAGTTGGCATAATGGCTATGTCCCTGGACTCCCATGGAGTTGACCGTAGTTCGAGTCCCGGACCCGGTGGCTTAAACTAGCCGGGCGCATGTGTACGCATGCCCAAGATCCCAAGAGGAGAATGGAGGAGAATGCAGCATGGCTATCCCCCCTGGCGGTGATTTCTCGCTTTCTGTCTCTCTCTCTCTTTTGGCGAGTGCACGTGTCCTATAGCAAAAACTTCTGCCCCCTGCCTACCCCCAAAAGGAAAAAAAAAAAAAGAAAGTAGCTTCAGGAAAGAAAACAGGTGAGAAGGTGCTGTAGCTAGGACATGGCCGGGCTCTTCAATGTGAGCCCTGCACACAGTATCAAGCCCCTGAGTGGACAGGTATGTACGTGAAACCCACAGACAGGGATGGTGGGGGGGGGGAGAGGATGGAGGTGGCCAGCAAGGACCAGATGGTACCAGTCCTGTTCACAGACGGGACACCCTTGTACTCCTACTAAGGAGAGAGTGGGAGGGTCAACCTTGCCAACTCATGCTGCCTTTTCTGGGACTAACAGCCCCCAGTGATGCTGCATACACTCTGTCGCGAGAGAGGAAAGTTAACTAAGCCCAGATTCAACCTACTCAGGAACCACATACCACCCCCCCTTTTTTTTAAAGAGGTTTTTGCTATAGGGTGCGTGTGCTCACCAGAAAGACAGAGATAGAAAGACAGAAAGCGAGAAATCACCCCCCAGCGGGGGTGGCCATGCCAAAATCCCGTCTCTTCCATTCTCCTTTCAGGATCTTGGGCATGCATGTACATATACCTCGTGTGAGTTTAAGCCACCAGGTCTGGGATTCAAACCGCAGTCAACTCCATGGGAGTCCAGCGATGTAGCCATTATGCCAACTCCTGGCCACCCCCCACCACTTTTTAAGAGAGATTTTTGCTATAGGGCAGGCATGTGTGCTCACCAGAGAGACAGAGAGAGACAGAGACAGAAAGTGAGAAATCAGCCCCCACAGGGGATGGCCATGCCACAATTCCTTCTCCATTCCCCTCTCAGGATTTTGGCATGCATGCACATACACCTGGTGTGAATTTTAAGTCATTGGGTCTAGGACTTGACTAAACGAGAGTTCAGCAACATAACCATTACGCCATCTGTTGGTCCCACCACACACTTTTGAGTGGAAGTCACAGGGCAGGGCCTGGGCCACTGATCCTGTCCTTCAGGGACCAGACACCATGGCAGAGGCTCTGCCACTTGCTGCCATCTTGGGTGCCTGACTCACTCTCCTAAACACCAGTGCGCCTTGAAGGTGGTGTGCTGGTGGTCCCAGGACAGAGCCTTTGGCATGGATAGGTGTGGCATCAGTCCAAGGCCTAGCCTGCAACCCTGGGTCAGCCCAGAAGCTTGGCCCAAGAAGAAAGGGAGGAAGCCAGAAAGTGAAAGAAATTA